CCATTCCCTCAATCATGGTTTCCACTTCCTTTTCACGTGCTACAGGCAATCTTCTTGGCCGCTGACGAATAGGCAATTCTTCTCCTGTGTTTATTTTGTGTTGAACTAAGCCAGTCTTTCCTATGTCAGCTTCGTTTGACGAGAAAACATTGGCGTACTTGAGTAACAACTTCTTCGCCTTGACCATTTCATTCGGGGAGAGAACGCTGCGACAGTCTTCTAAAAGTGTGGTCACTCTCGTTTGTCCATCCTTGCTAGGGGTCCCGGTCGATAGATATTCGCACCGACGCAACCAATCCACTTCCTCACTAGTACCAACCAATGTGCCTTTTTCTATAATCTGTTCCTGATCACAAAGGTTCAACACACGTACTCCTGAGATGTCGGTGGTTCTGACCAAGGTTCGAGCCACTTTCCATGGAAGGTCATTGTCTACCCTTTCCACGAGTACACAACGATGAGCTTGCCCAGGACTCCGAGGAAGACTAACCGGCACAATCGTTTCCGATCTCGGCGGAAGAACAATCTTCTTAAGGCTGTACACATTCCCTGGTAACGCCCCTTCCATGAAAAGTTCTTCTTGTCCACATTTCAAAACACCTTGCTTAACGTCGATCTCACAACAATTCTTCCTCATAAAGTCTAGGCCCAGGATGCAGTCGTCCATTATATCAGCCACGATGACATTATGCAGGTAGATCATGTTGCCTAGCTTCAACTCCATCTCCTTCTCTCCACGGACGGGTATGCGCTGACCAGTGGCTGTCACCAAATTAATGCGTTCTCGGTTGTATGCGGAGTCACCAAGGAACCGACTTTTAAGTTGGGAACTGACAACCGTGCGAGAGGCTCCAGTGTCTATGGTCAGTTTACATGGCGTTCCGTTGACTTCGCCCTTGATGATTAGGCTGTTCCCATCATGAGTTTGTGAGATCGAAATCCTTGGGGCTCTTTTAACATCAGCCAGCACTCGCCAGTTTCCCTGCTGCTGCTGGGCGGTGCTATTATCCACACTACCCTCTCGAGATCGATCACCTTCCCTTTTTACAGTTCGCTTAGGGCAGCTGGATCGAAGATGGCCCCTTTCTCCACAGCCGTAGCACCTAGGGCTGTAGCTTTTATTGCGGTCCTGAACTTTAGCTGCTGCAACCTCCCTGACGCGGTGGGAACGATGATCCTGCCGCACGGCTTCCACCTCCAGTGCATGGGTCAAGGCGTCCTTAAGCGTCTCGTGGTGCCCGAGCCTCACAGCAGCTCTGACTTCAAGGTCGCGGATGCCGTCGATGAATGTCTCCACCAGGTTCCCTACAATAAGCGCAGGTACAGACTGGTACGCTTTTCGAACCAGCTTCTCCACCTCAAGGGCCCACTGCTGCTGGTTTTCGTTACTGCGTTGCACGCGATCTTTGAGCTGCGCACGAAAGACGTGTTCCAGGTGAGCGTCGCCATATCTCGCCTCCAATGCCTCAAGGAGCTGCTCGTAAGTCACTTCCTTACCGAGAGCTTCCAGAACAGTTAATGCCTGGTCGCGCAGGCCTAGGGTGAGAGCAGTCATGGCCTGACTATTACTCCAGCCGTTCGCTTTCATGACAGCCTCGAACTGGATTTTATAGGCCGACCAGGAAGAAGTCCCGTCGAACGGTGGCACTTTGAATCCACGTAGCGAAGGTGTTGTAGCTACCACGGGAGCTGTAACTCCATCCCTAAGTTTGAGGTCGTCCAGCGTTTTCTTCACATCAGCCATCACGTTGTCAACCCGATTGTTCACTTGGTCGATTCGGGTTTCAGCTTCCGACAGGCGGTTGTCATGTTGAGCAACCCTATCCTTCAACTCCTTTATCTCTTTCCCGAAGGTAGCGTGAAGGTCCTTCCTGAGGAGCATCTGTTCTTCCATACCGCGCTGCAGCTGCTCTTCCAGCCGACGGGTCTGTTCCTCCTGTCGGCGGGCCTGATCCTGCAGCATCATCATCAGAGCACCTAAGTCAGGTGCTGCAGATGCAGGAGCTGCTGACGGGCCAGCCTCCGTGGTTAGCAACTGGCCCTCCGACGTTTGCGGCGTTGCATTACCAAATCGTCTCTGGTCCGTCTCCTGTTGGCGTTGACTTCGGGTACGGATACCCTCCGTGTCGTCTTTAGGTAAAATCGGCATATTTGATCCCACTTCTGACACCAATTGTTACGAGCTTGGAGTTCGAGACAATTAAAAACTGCCGATTGAATTACCAAAATTGACACTTTAATTACACGACACTAATTACAATCTAAAATCACACTAATAATAAAACACAGTTCGCCGTTATTTCGCTTCGAAGTATTCTCTTGTATCGCCAATTCAATACTGCCCCGGTCGTGGTCTATACCGGTCTTATATAGGGCCTCAGATAGTTTCCAGAACCTTCTACTGTAGCGACATCTAGAATGTTCGAGTACATATCGGTCCCGAAATTTCTGGAAGGATCTCGACTCTCCTAGTTCTGCTACTCGACACTAGAGGGCGCTAGTGTGACTAGTGTTGCCATGTACAAGACATTAATAGTGGCGCGCAATACTTTCATTTACTCGACACTAGGGGGCGCTAGTGTAACTAGTGTTGCCGTGTACAAGACATTAATAGTGGCGCGTAACAGTATTAATACTTTAAGTTGGCAACACTACCTGCTCAGCTATATTAATCAGAATTTTCGTGATTTGATGCTTATAATAATTATTGAAATTAAAATAAATACTTACAGATGAAAGGGGTCGTCGTCCTTTTGTAAATTTGAGGTCTGCGATCTTTTTTTTACATGAAACCACACTGCAACTCGGCATTTTTCTGGAGGTCAACTTACGCTTACGACTACTTGGTAACTGACGCCATACGCGGCGCAACTAGTTTTATATAACGGGAATGATCCGCGCTCTCGTACTTTTGACAGCGGGGAACGCTCTCCAATGGCGTCTCCTGTTAGTTTAATACTCTAAGTTGTAAGCTGATATTTAAAAATAAAGTCCCACTGGGTTTCTTGCTGGTTCTTCCCAGGACCGAGGTTTTTTTTGGGACCAACGGTAATTAAACTACTGACTTTCAATAAGTACTATTTATAATCTATATTGAATAAAAAAGTTTGTTTCTGTTTCAGACTCACACGCTCAACCATAGCCTCTCTTTCCGATTCGATTTGATCCCGACTGGCCCGGGCACTTGGTTGGTATCTCCCCATAACTGTGCTGTCGTCTGCATACACGTAGATACCAGGAATGAGCAGATTATTTATATGCAGCAGGAAGCTTCTCCCAGGCTGATGCCAGGGGATAAGCCGTACGCTGAAAACTTGCGCAATAGACGTGTACCAAACTCTGTCAAAGGCCTTCGAAACATCTAGAGAAACAACAAGTGCCTCACCACTGTTCTCGAGGGCTTCGCCCCATATGAGAGTGGCATACACTAAAAGGTCCTCAGTTGATCGATTTTGGCGAAACCCGTACTGGCGATCACTGAGAGACCATTTTGCTCTAGGTATGCCATAATGTGGGCGTTCAAATACGCTCCATAATCTTGCAGAATATAGAGGTAATTGAAATTGGCCGATAGTTCGCAGGGTCGGTACGGCTACCTTTTTTAGGCACAGACTGCACATTGGCCAGTTTAGGCACTATTCCCGTCCAGAATGAGAGGCGGAACAAGCGCGTCAACACAAGTGGACAGACCTTTAGAACTACAGCTAGTATACCATCAGGTCCACTAGTTTTGTTCACGTCTAGACTTTGCAAGGTTTTAAGAAAATCCTTGTTGGTGACACGGACCTCTGACATAGAAGTACCGCAGTGAGGTAATTGAGATGGTACGCTGCTGCTACTGTCCAGACGCGAATTGCAAGCAAAAAGAGAAGCAAATGAGTCCGCACTCTCCTTAGGCGCATGCGCCAGTAAGCCATCTGGTTTTACCAGCGGAGGCAGTGTAGACCGACAGAAGTTTGTCTCGATTGCTTTGGCGAGAGACCAAAAAGCTCTACTGCCAGATGGATAAACAGAAAACTGTACCGATGCGTTTAATGCGGTCGAAACTGGCTTGGCGTAATGCCTTTTTGTAGGACTTGGCGGCTTGGTTAAAAGCTCTCTTCTTAAGGCTAACAGCCGGAGCTTTACGGTCTCGAGCATCGACCCAGGATAAATACGCCATATGCTTGTGCTTTTCAGCATGAGCGCACTCGGCGTTGAACCATGGGCGTGCTTTACCACCAATGGGCACGTCAGCAAAGTGGATGAAATATTCCATCGCTCAACGTATCACATTTGTTATGGCATTCGCGCAGTTCGACGGGTCTTCAGAGGAGAAGCAGACCTGCCGCCTAGGATAAGATGCAAAGAAATGCCGCATCTCATCCCAATCTGCAGACTTGTATCGCCACACTCGTCGCACACTGTGGAAATCGTAGTTAAGTGGGGAATATAACGACACAGATTTCACCAGACAGTGGTCAGAAGTTCACAGGCATTAAAGTACCCCTGAAAAACCAACTGTGTGTTAGGGTACCGATCATCAGAGGCTTCAATGAGGTGTTCAAACAGCCTAGTTGTCTCCTGATCACCGCTGTGCGATCGGTAGACACAAGAATAAATAATTTTATCCATTCCTGTCTATCAATACCCAGATCGTAGAGAAAGTGGGGTCTTCAAGGTGACGGAGACGCTTACAGTAGATGTCGTTGCGGACGAAATACAGTCTCCAGCGCCAAGGTACGCCGCATCTAGACGACATCTGATTTGAGTCTCAGTAAGAAAAGTAGGTGCGGCTTGTCAGTCTCATGGTGGTACTTTGATGGAAAGGGAGTGCACCGCTGTACAAACTTACTCTTCTTTTTCCTTTCTTTCATAAATGGTGGGAGTGAATAGGTTGAGAGAATGGCAGTTGGACGATGCGTCACACATATAACCTAGGGACGCAAACAGAGTCACAGCATAGATTGTACATACGAGGGGCACACTGAAATGATCGGGAATAAGAAAAACCACATGCATGTTGTAACTAAATTGTATTTTATTATTTTTCGAAGTATTCTCCGTTCAACTTAATGCACTTTTCCATTCGTGCAAACCAATCATTATAACAGTAATTCCAGTCTGAAGTTGATGTTGACAAAATGGCTGATTTGTACGCTTCCACAGCTGCTTCGGGGTCTTCAAACCGTTGACCGCGTAATAAATCTTTCATTCTAGGGAATGTAAAGAAATCGTTTGGGCTCAGGTCAGGTCTGTACGGAGGATGGCTCATCAGCTCAACGTTTTCCTGCTTCAAAAATCATTTGTCTTCCGAGCCGTATGGGAGCTCGCATTATTGTGATGTAAGATGATGCGACGTTTCGGGTTATTTTTTCGGAGTTCGGCTATCATTTCTGGCAAACAAACCCTGATATACCACTCAGCGGTAACCGTTCTGCGTTCCTGTAAAGGAATTGTAGCAACATGCCCCTTTTTCGAGACAAACATAGCGACCATTTTCTTTGACACGCTGCGGGAGCGAACCACTTTCGTTGGTTTGACCTAGTCTTCGAAGACCCAAACTGCTGACTGATGTTTACTTCCAGGTTCGTATGAATAAATCCATGATTCGTCACCTGAGACGATATTTTAATTGAAGCGTTGCAGAGTATTCCGGCACCAATCTACACGAGCCGCCTATTCCTCTTCGGACAAATTGTGGGGAACCCAACGGGAAACTAGCTTTCTTACACAGAGCTCATTATGTAATATCGACTGAATTGCAGTCATTTCTATACTGATAACAGCCCGAATCTACTCGTATATTACATGACGGTCATCTAATATAGAAAACATCGCATAGCTGCGAGGTTTTCAGGCGTGACCGCTGTCCTTGGTCGACCTGCAGAAGAAACAGTGTTGAGCGACACACAACCGCGTCGGAACTCGGCATACCAGCGGTATATTGTCTCTCAGAGACTGCTAGACACTAGAAGCCCTCTACTAACAGTGAGATGTTGGCTGTGGACTTTGGACTGGTTTTGTTAGTTATGATAAGATCTTACCTCCAGACTTGGTGGAGTGACTTGAAGGTATACTTCGGTGACTGCTACTGGAACTCCTCGACGAGTAATACTATGTGTGCCGAGTTTAGGCTCGTTATGTTAGTTATGATGAGATCTTACCTCCGGACATGATGGAGAGACCTGAAGTTGTACTTCGGTGACTACTAGTGGAAATCCTCGACGAGTAGAACTAGGCCTGCCGAGTTTGAGCTCGTTTTGTAAATTATGATGAGACCTAATCTCCGGGCTTGATGGAGAGACCTGATGGTGTACTTCGGTGACTACTACTGGAATTCCTGAAGGATTAGAGCTAGGTGTGCCGAGTTTGGGCTCGTTTTGTCAGTTATTCTATACCTACCAATTGTACAAATGCGTCCTTAATTAGCAGGAAGTAAAATAGCTAAGTTTTATTGCAACACAAATGTGTTATCCGTTCACTGAACACAAACATTTTTATAGTGATCAGAAAATTAAAATAAATTGTTAAATAGTCAACATGTATTTTATTTTCATTTATAACTAACTATAAATATTGTCTAAATTAAAAAATAGATATGCTTTAGAAATGGTAACCCATTGGAAAAAAGTCATAGTGGAGGAAGGGGAAAAAGATCCTTTGCAGCAGAGCTAGCTAGCTAGGAGAAAATTTTATCCCCAGGAAAGGGGAAAATGTTTATCACCTCGCTTAGTTTTATCCACCCTTCAAGCATGGGCACACCGGTGGATATAATATCCACAGTAGATAAAATGGGAGATAGACTTAGATAGATTTATTTGTATAAATATAAATTTAAACCCACGTCCAATGAACTAGGATAAAATTGTCCCTTTCAAATATCAAAAGACCATAATTTTTTATCTTTCATTTGGCTCCATATATGTTTACTCATTTTGTCAAACAGGGATATACTTCTTCCTGTTACTGTGCTTCTGCATAAGGACAAGATAAGTTTATCTCTTGTCAGTGGATATAATCGGGGGATAAATTTTTGTCCCCAGCCCATGCTAGCCGTGCTGGAGAATAAAGTTTGGATAAGCAGATTATACAGATAGATTTCAAGAAAAACTATATATTTGAGGTTGTTTGCAAATAATCTCTTTAATCAAAGCAATGAAATTGCGAAGGATAGTAGGAGATATTATCTCCATTAGCTGGAGGGAGCAGGAAAGATCTCTACAAGGTAGGTTCCAAAATATTGTATTATTATTATTAGGTTTTGAAAAAGAAGAAATAACAGCTGTAAAATTAATTCTCTCTTTGAATATATTTAAGGATAGGTTATTCTACACCTCTCTTACAAAAACACTTAGAATAGTAGCAACAACACTATGTGAAATCAGGGTTTCAAAATTTGGCGAAGTGACTATCTTTGAACCAACAAATATGATAATTAATAAATAAATAAAATGTAACTAAATCGATTACATACACATATTTTATCGCTATAGGCAACTTTTCATATTCATCTTAATAATTGTTATTAAGATCACTTATACTTTTTATACAAAATAGAGCACCCAAAGAGTATATAATCACTACAAGAGCACCAACACAATACTTGCAAGCAATAAATGAACACAAAATAGCTGATGGCAACTTACATAGCAAATGCATTCAATTTCACTATTTTCTTAATTTTACTCTAAACCTTAAGTTTTAAAATGTTTTGTTGCTGGACATTAATTTGTCATTGCATTTAGTTACATTTTATTGGTAATGTTTTATTACATTATAGTGATTTCAAAAAATATAAATTGCCACACTTTGATATTTTAGTATTTGAGACATTTTTATTATGGTTTATTGTAAAAAAAATTAACCCAATATCCAGTTACCATTTCTAGAGTTAAGCCTGTTAAATTACATATGTACTAATCCCATTTAGATTTTTTCTTTTCGAAAATTTCTTTTCCTTCTTTATCTACAGCAGCATAGTACCCCAAAGACTCATATTTTTGCCTCATATATGCAATGTAACCCAGTGCCAGGCCAAAACATGTGATACCTATGCTCATTATTACAATATTCTGAAAAGAGTAAAAAATATTGACATAAGACTACAATAGTGGACAGACATGAACTGTATAATATTCACAGTAGGTATAAGTAACGATAAATAAATACTCACAGGCTTTGCATATAATTCAAAATTAATAACTCGAAAAGCAGTTGTAGACCTTAAAGATCTTAATAAACCTTCACCAGGTTTCTCCTTATTTTTGTCACTCATATTTACTTTTTCCTCAAAAAGAATTAATGGGTTTTGCTCACTGGGACTTCGTCGTTTCTTACCTACTTACGCTTACCCATGTTAATATTTACCTAAAACACAAACGTTGTTTGAAATAATATAGTTTTGCAAATAGATCACAATAATATTATTAGTTTATGTATGTATATTAGAATTTAAGACTATTCAATAACACGATTTTGTCTTGTGTAATTAGAACGAAGAGAAACGACATTTGTCTACAATTAAGCATTTACGTGGTAGAGCAATGCTGCAGCTATATTAGTAGTATAGTTGTAGCACGAATGGGTCGGCTCGACCGGGGAAGGACCACGCTCTCACAGAATACCAGCTTACCACTGCTGTGTTTTGTATGGTGACTGCAGAGAACCGGAGACCCCTTTTTACTGGAAACGAGGCATTCCATCTTAGTCCTCACGGGTGGCAACGCTTCTGCATTTTGATTCGCAAACGAGGATAAATGTAGATGTCTCTGGGTCACAGCAACCATTTACCATCAGGTGGACTGTGTGCTCGTTTGGCACCCTATACTATAAAAAAAAGCAAAATTTAATTGTCCTAGTGGTGCAAAAGTCCTTACTATAGTATTAATACTTTAAGTTGGCAACACTACCTGCTCAGCTATATTAATCAGAATTTTCGTGATTTGATGCTTATAATAATTATTGAAATCAAAATAAATACTTACAGATGAAAGGGGTCGTCGTCCTTTTGTAAATTTGAGGTCTGCGATCTTTTTTTTACATGAAACCACACTGCAACTCGGCATTTTTCTGGAGGTCAACTTACGCTTACGACTACTTGGTAACTGACGCCATACGCGGCGCAACTAGTTTTATATAACGGGAATGATCCGCGCTCTCGTACTTTTGACAGCGGGGAACGCTCTCCAGTGGCGTCTCCTGTTAGTTTAATACTCTAAGTTGTAAGCTGTTATTTAAAAATAAAGTCCCACTGGGTTTCTTGCTGGTTCTTCCCAGGACCGAGGTTTTTTTTGGGACCAACGGTAATTAAACTACTGACTTTCAATAAGTACTATTTATAATCTATATTGAATAAAAAAGTTTGTTTCTGTTTCAGACTCACACGCTCAACCATAGCCTCTCTTTCCGATTCGATTTGATCCCGACTGGCCCGGGCACTTGGTTGGTATCTCCCCATAACTGTGCTGTCGTCTGCATACACGTAGATACCAGGAATGAGCAGATTATTTATATGCAGCAGGAAGCTTCTCCCAGGCTGATGCCAGGGGATAAGCCGTACGCTGAAAACTTGCGCAATAGACGTGTACCAAACTCTGTCAAAGGCCTTCGAAACATCTAGAGAAACAACAAGTGCCTCACCACTGTTCTCGAGGGCTTCGCCCCATATGAGAGTGGCATACACTAAAAGGTCCTCAGTTGATCGATTTTGGCGAAACCCGTACTGGCGATCACTGAGAGACCATTTTGCTCTAGGTATGCCATAATGTGGGCGTTCAAATACGCTCCATAATCTTGCAGAATATAGAGGTAATTGAAATTGGCCGATAGTTCGCAGGGTCGGTACGGCTACCTTTTTTAGGCACAGACTGCACATTGGCCAGCTTCCAAGATTTAGGCACTATTCCCGTCCTGAATGAGAGGCGGAACAAGCGCGTCAACACAAGTGGACAGACCTTTAGAACTACAGCTAGTATACCATCAGGTCCACTAGTTTTGTTCACGTCTAGACTTTGCAAGGTTTTAAGAAAATCCTTGTTGGTGACACGGACCTCTGACATAGAAGTACCGCAGTGAGGTAATTGAGATGGTACGCTGCTGCTACTGTCCAGACGCGAATTGCAAGCAAAAAGAGAAGCAAATGAGTCCGCATTCTCCTTAGGCGCATGCGCCAGTGAGCCATCTGGTTTTACCAGCGGAGGCAGTGTAGACCGACAGAAGTTTGTCTCGATTGCTTTGGCGAGAGACCAAAAAGCTCTACTGCCAGATGGATAAACAGAAAACTGTACCGATGCGTTTAATGCGGTCGAAACTGGCTTGGCGTAATGCCTTTTTGTAGGACTTGGCGGCTTGGTTAAAAGCTCTCTTCTTAAGCCTAACAGCCGGAGCTTTACGGTTTCGAGCATCGACCCAGGATAAATACGCCATATGCTTGTGCTTTTCAGCATGAGCGCACTCGGCGTTGAACCATGGGCGTGCTTTACCACCAATGGGCACGTCAGCAAAGTGGATGAAATATTCCATCGCTCAACGTATCACATTTGTTATGGCATTCGCGCAGTTCGACGGGTCTTCAGAGGAGAAGCAGACCTGCCGCCTAGGATAAGATGCAAAGAAATGCCGCATCTCATCCCAATCTGCAGACTTGTATCGCCACACTCGTCGCACACTGTGGAAATCGTAGTTAAGTGGGGAATATAACGACACAGATTTCACCAGACAGTGGTCAGAAGTTCACAGGCATTAAAGTACCCCTGAAAAACCAACTGTGTGTTAGGGTACCGATCATCAGAGGCTTCAATGAGGTGTTCAAACAGCCTAGTTGTCTCCTGATCACCGCTGTGCGATCGGTAGACACAAGAATAAATAATTTTATCCATTCCTGTCTATCAATACCCAGATCGTAGAGAAAGTGGGGTCTTCAAGGTGACGGAGACGCTTACAGTAGATGTCGTTGCGGACGAAATACAGTCTCCAGCGCCAAGGTACGCCGCATCTAGACGACATCTGATTTGAGTCTCAGTAAGAAAAGTAAGTGCGGCTTGTCAGTCTCATGGTGGTACTTTGATGGAGAGGGAGTGCACCGCTGTACAAACTTACTCTTCTTTTTCCTTTCTTTCATAAATGGTGGGAGTGAATAGGTTGAGAGAATGGCAGTTGGACGATGCGTCACACATATAACCTAGGGACGCAAACAGAGTCACAGCATAGATTGTACATACGAGGGGCACACTGAAATGATCGGGAATAAGAAAAACCACATGCATGGTGTAACTAAATTGTATTTTATTATTTTTCGAAGTATTCTCCGTTCAACTTAATGCACTTTTCCATTCGTGCAAACCAATCATTATAACAGTAATTCCAGTCTGAAGTTGATGTTGACAAAATGGCTGATTTGTACGCTTCCACAGCTGCTTCGGGGTCTTCAAACCGTTGACCGCGTAATAAATCTTTCATTCTAGGGAATGTAAAGAAATCGTTTGGGCTCAGGTCAGGTCTGTACGGAGGATGGCTCATCAGCTCAACGTTTTCCTGCTTCAAAAATCATTTGTCTTCCGAGCCGTATGGGAGCTCGCATTATCGTGATGTAAGATGATGCGACGTTTCGGGTTATTTTTTCGGAGTTCGGCTATCATTTCTGGCAAACAAACCCTGATATACCACTCAGCGGTAACCGTTCTGCGTTCCTGTAAAGGAATTGTAGCAACATGCCCCTTTTTCGAGACAAACATAGCGACCATTTTCTTTGACACGCTGCGGGAGCGAACCACTTTCGTTGGTTTGACCTAGTCTTCGAAGACCCAAACTGCTGACTGATGTTTACTTCCAGGTTCGTATGAATAAATCCATGATTCGTCACCTGAGACGATATTTTAATTGAAGCGTTGCAGAGTATTCCGGCACCAATCTACACGAGCCGCCTATTCCTCTTCGGACAAATTGTGGGGAACCCAACGGGAAACTAGCTTTCTTACACAGAGCTCATTATGTAATATCGACTGAATTGCAGTCATTTCTATACTGATAACAGCCCGAATCTACTCGTATATTACATGACGGTCATCTAATATAATAGTTCGCATAGCTGCGATGTTTTCAGGCGTGACCGCTGTCCTTGGTCGACCTGCAGAAGAAACAGTGTTGAGCGACACACAACCGCGTCGGAACTCGGCATACCAGCGGTATATTGTCTCTCAGAGACTGCTAGACACTAGAAGCCCTCTACTAACAGTGAGATGTTGGCTGTGGACTTTGGACTGGTTTTGTTAGTTATGATAAGATCTTACCTCCAGACTTGGTGGAGTGACTTGAAGGTATACTTCGGTGACTGCTACTGGAACTCCTCGACGAGTAATACTATGTGTGCCGAGTTTAGGCTCGTTATGTTAGTTATGATGAGATCTTACCTCCGGACATGATGGAGAGACCTGAAGTTGTACTTCGGTGACTACTAGTGGAAATCCTCGACGAGTAGAACTAGGCCTGCCGAGTTTGAGCTCGTTTTGTAAATTATGATGAGACCTAATCTCCGGGCTTGATGGAGAGACCTGATGGTGTACTTCGGTGACTACTACTGGAATTCCTGAAGGATTAGAGCTAGGTGTGCCGAGTTTGGGCTCGTTTTGTCAGTTATTCTATACCTACCAATTGTACAAATGCGTCCTTAATTAGCAGGAAGTAAAATAGCTAAGTTTTATTGCAACACAAATGTGTTATCCGTTCACTGAACACAAACATTTTTATAGTGATCAGAAAATTAAAATAAATTGTTAAATAGTCAACATGTATTTTATTTTCATTTATAACTAACTATAAATATTGTCTAAATTAAAAAATAGATATGCTTTAGAAATGGTAACCCATTGGAAAAAAGTCATAGTGGAGGAAGGGGAAAAAGATCCTTTGCAGCAGAGCTAGCTAGCTAGGAGAAAATTTTATCCCCAGGAAAGGGGAAAATGTTTATCACCTCGCTTAGTTTTATCCACCCTTCAAGCATGGGCACACCGGTGGATATAATATCCACAGTAGATAAAATGGGAGATAGACTTAGATAGATTTATTTGTATAAATATAAATTTAAACCCACGTCCAATGAACTAGGATAAAATTGTCCCTTTCAAATATCAAAAGACCATAATTTTTTATCTTTCATTTGGCTCCATATATGTTTACTCATTTTGTCAAACAGGGATATACTTCTTCCTGTTACTGTGCTTCTGCATAAGGACAAGATAAGTTTATCTCTTGTCAGTGGATATAATCGGGGGATAAATTTTTGTCCCCAGCCCATGCTAGCCGTGCTGGAGAATAAAGTTTGGATAAGCAGATTATACAGATAGATTTCAAGAAAAACTATATATTTGAGGTTGTTTGCAAATAATCTCTTTAATCAAAGCAATGAAATTGCGAAGGATAGTAGGAGATATTATCTCCATTAGCTGGAGGGAGCAGGAAAGATCTCTACAAGGTAGGTTCCAAAATATTGTATTATTATTATTAGGTTTTGAAAAAGAAGAAATAACAGCTGTAAAATTAATTCTCTCTTTGAATATATTTAAGGATAGGTTATTCTACACCTCTCTTACAAAAACACTTAGAATAGTAGCAACAACACTATGTGAAATCAGGGTTTCAAAATTTGGCGAAGTGACTATCTTTGAACCAACAAATATGATAATTAATAAATAAATAAAATGTAACTAAATCGATTACATACACATATTTTATCGCTATAGGCAACTTTTCATATTCATCTTAATAATTGTTATTAAGATCACTTATACTTTTTATACAAAATAGAGCACCCAAAGAGTATATAATCACTACAAGAGCACCAACACAATACTTGCAAGCAATAAATGAACACAAAATAGCTGATGGCAACTTACATAGCAAATGCATTCAATTTCACTATTTTCTTAATTTTACTCTAAACCTTAAGTTTTAAAATGTTTTGTTGCTGGACATTAATTTGTCATTGCATTTAGTTACATTTTATTGGTAATGTTTTATTACATTATAGTGATTTCAAAAAATATAAATTGCCACACTTTGATATTTTAGTATTTGAGACATTTTTATTATGGTTTATTGTAAAAAAAATTAACCCAATATCCAGTTACCATTTCTAGAGTTAAGCCTGTTAAATTACATATGTACTAATCCCATTTAGATTTTTTCTTTTCAAAAATTTCTTTTCCTTCTTTATCTACAGCAGCATAGTACCCCAAAGACTCATATTTTTGCCTCATATATGCAATGTAACCCAGTGCCAGGCCAAAACATGTGATACCTATGCTCATTATTACAATATTCTGAAAAGAGTAAAAAATATTGACATAAGACTACAATAGTGGACAGACATGAACTGTATAATATTCACAGTAGGTATAAGTAACGATAAATAAATACTCACAGGCTTTGCATATAATTCAAAATTAATAACTCGAAAAGCAGTTGTAGACCTTAAAGATCTTAAACCTTCACCAGGTTTCTCCTTATTTTTGTCACTCATATTTACTTTTTCCTCAAAAAGAATTAATGGGTTTTGCTCACTGAGACTTCGTCGTTTCTTACCTACTTACGCTTACCCATGTTAACATTTACCTAAAACACAAACTAGGTATATAGATGACCTAAAATAAAATGAAAAATTCTAAGAATTTTAGTGAGGATAAAACTTCACATTCTAAAATAAATATTTAATCTATGACTCCCATCATGTTCCATTGTACTCTGTGCACAGAACACTTTTAGGCCCGCCACATACATACGGAATTCTGTTTCAGGATTCCGTTTCGATTATTCGATTCCGAATTCTGAACGCATTAACCATTAAGTCGATATAGAATCTATGACCCGTCACACACGTACGGTAGTTTTCAGTTCGATATTTTGCGGCCAAAACGGGATTGCGAATGTGTGTGGCCGCCCTGTTCGGAATTCCGTTTCGATATTCCTATTCAGGAGTCCGAAGGCAGCAAGTCAATATAAAATCAAGGACCCGCCACACATGAACGGTAATTTTTTGTACGAAATTTTCTCCGATTCAAGATTCCATATGACCGCCTGTGCGTTCGGAATCCCGAACGGAAAAAAGCCGCTCCAAATGCAAGTCTTCCGTAGATTTTGTATGCGTCGCAACACACAATCGTAAATTCCGTACGGAACGCGCTCAGTGTTAGTCGCACGACCGAAGCGAGTAGGTGTGTTTATGTATGTTTATAGATTTAATCTTATATGTGTAACCTTTCATCTTATTTCATTTAATAATTCGTCGAAAGAGTTTACAGACATCCATATTTAAAAAAATATATCTGAATTGATAGATATTTTTACATTATATTGACTATATTGCAAGCTTACTGCTAAAACCATTAAAATAAACTGAAATTACAAGAAAATCGAATCTACACCGATAAAAGACAAAGTAAAACAACAGAAATCCATATTATTATGTATTTATTGGTAGAAATTTTAATTTTTATTTATTTGTTAAGTTATTTATAAAATTCCCTTTTTCAGATCTTGAAAAATGTGTCTTAAACCAGCAAGCTTCCTTCCTTGTTTTCTGTATTTGAGCGTTTGATTTTTCACTTTTAGTCTTTAACGTCTGTAGCACTTTAAAGCCTGCACTGGCCCGAAAGAAAGAAAAAAATTAGGTATTAGTAATACCTATAGTATTTGATTCAATATTATTTTAAAGAAAAAAGTATAAGTTAATATGACTGGCAAGCTTTTTCATTGGTTTAAATATAAATATTGATTTTGTTCATTTAATCTTAATTTTCCATAATGTTATATGTATATAACTTAATATCCACCAAAATATCATCAAAGAATGACAACTAATACTCATGATATCACAACTAAAAATGTGTTATTTTATTTATATGCAATATGTTAGTTATCTGTTAGTATCTTTCTTTTATCTTCTTTCTTGTGTTAAATAACGAATTGTTGCGATAAGTTGGTATCATCGATGCAAAATCGATTCGTTGTGCGTGCAAATCACATCACTAAATTTAGCATGTAAACAATAGCAATACGTAGGGAATCAATAAAACCAAACTATATATAATAATATATCGTTTGAAAGATCATGAATAGGTAAATCTACGACCGAACAGAAATAAACATGAATTGAGGCTTGAAATGGGTATAAATATATAAAGGAAACATAATAAATGAATAATTCTAATGACTTACTTGTGCGGGGATATCAAAGACGCTTTTTTATAATATTTGAACCACTACCCTTTACATAACACAGGAATGGTTGCTTTTATCACACACAGTTTCACAATCAAATTTACAGTACTCAAGATGTTAGCAAAATGAAAAAAAAAAACATATCGTCGCACGGTAACGTAAGATGACACAGCTTGTATCTAAAGAGTATAGTAACTCTCCTCTACAGGAACTCGTACACCTCAGGATCAGAAATAGTAGTTAGGATAGTAATAGAGGGCCATATTGTGCAAGGGAGAAGATAATTCCTTATGGCAATATAGCAAAATAGATAAGGATAGCAAATCTCATGACTCTGTAACCGATTTTAGCGATGTCCGTTGATCGTTTTTCCGTTAACAAAACGTTAACATTGATTTACGTTTGTCAACTGGTTAATCAACTAGTTAAAGTCGTCAATGACTTAACATACTACTAATGTTAACTTGCAACGTAAACCGTTCATTGAATGGTCTTAATTCAACGATGCGACATTCAATTGTAGAAACAATTTGATTCATTGTATGTATTGGAAAACGTATGATTGATGGTTCTACTTAGATGGCCTTCCCTTCATACTTTTTACATAAAAGATTATCAGATTCTATGTACAAAAATCAATTATCATTTACAATATGCTTTTTCTATTGTTTTTTTTTTTTAATATTTCTTTTTGATTTTTTTTCGAAATGCAGCCACAATTCACTGTTACCCCCGTACTCCTAGTACATCCCAACATTTTCAATTTTGTACCTTAAGTAGTCCTATTTTATACAAATATACACTATGATATTAACACGAACAAATTAACACTGTTACTATAAACATTAACTAAAAAGTCTTAACTCTAAATATTTACGATAATCCGAAAAACAACTTTGAGCTTTCGCGCAACTTGTCACAAACTATCAATCAAAAATTAAAGAAAGCGAACTTCATATCGTTCGTAAACGTAAACAAAAAAAACTAGTATTAACCTGTTGTTGCTAGCTGTTACACGAGCAGGGTGCGTCATTCCACTATTATCGTCATAAGTACTATTCTTAAATTAAATATTTCGAAAATCAACTCTTTCATTTGATATTTTGAGTTTAAATTGTATGACATGACCGTCGCTCACAATCTCTGACTTTATTTTCAACGTAGGTATTTAAAATTGCTCAGTTCATTGCGTTTGCGTTCAGCGTTCTCGATTATTGAACGAGACGCACGAGCTAAATTCATAAACGTCGTTGACGAATTCAACTAGTTGAATCATAAACAGTTAACGTTAATACGTTGACAGCAGATCAACGGTTGATTTAACTAGTTCGTTGATTCAACAGTCATTGCCAAGGCACCCACAGACAGGGTGAACATATGTGGCAGGGCTGGCCTCTTATTTTAGCCTCTGGCATGATCGGTTGACGTTTTATAAAACCTGGCAGTATTTGGCAGTATTCGGGTATTAAAAATAGATTTCATTATGGCAACTTAAAATGTCGAAAATGGCAACCCTATGTACTTCGCCAGCATGTGGGGGATTTCCCTGTACTTCTAGTTTATGTTTGTAACACATTCAATAAAAAACTTTAAAAGTATGGGTGTTAAGTTGATAATTTTAAAACGAGTATTCATAAACACAAATTAATGGTTAATATTTCAATCAGTCATAGAAGAGACGTACTTTAGTTTGTTATCGCATTAGATTTCGTGGTGACAATATCTTGTTAGCGATATTTTGTTAATGATGTTTCGTGGACGATAGTAATTATTGGTGGTGATGATGAAGCGAATATATAAAAGGCCGTATATAGCGGAGTGGAGTAAGGTCATTTAATACAATTAATAGAATCAGGCATTACTTTGCAGAAATCCATTATATAAAAGCTTTTAGAAAAATTTACTTCGCAAATATCCGCGTTATAAAATAAATATAAAATAAAAATAATTCCATTTTGCCAAACATTTTTTAAACAAACATCTTTTGGACACTGGACACAACCTAGCCAACGACCACTCCTTTAAAGTCTTACATACGTGTAATAAAGGGCTGCGGCTGTGTGTGCTGAAACAGTTAGAGATATTAAAAAGTAATAATAGTACAGTTGCATTGCGGAATGAGCAAACAAACGTTACTAACTCCCCTCTCTTAAATATCTTTAAGCCTGCTCTCTAATAATAGAGAGCCTCGCAATATGGTCGTTTGTCACCCTCACGGTGATCGGCGATTGGTTGCGTGGTTGGAGGATGGGCGTTGCGCGGCGGTTTGTTTTTAATTTTACAAACGGCTGCGTAAGTCCGGCGGTGATTGGTCGCATGTTTTATCGCATGACCCAGTCGCTCGCTCCTTAAGTAGAGAGCGGTTGCGTCATCGGTCTGTATAAAAGGCACTTGTTTTGGCTCGCCGCTCACTTAGCGGTTAGCCACCGTAGAGTCTATATCACCTGAGGATGTCTCGTGTAGAGGCGAAACACGTGTCGTGTTGTCGTCAGTGGTGTGTCTTGCCTAGTGTAGTGGTGTTGGGAGTAGCGGTGCTGGGATTGGTGGTGATGGGAATAGTGCACGCAATTGAGGGAGGGTGGGAGGTGCTCTTCATACTAGGTAAGATACATCATTTTATTTTATAACGCGGATATTTGCGAAGTAAATTTTTCTAAAAACTTTTATAAGGTCCTTTACTTTCATCGTGGATCTTCAAAGCTAAAAATAATCAGATCCAAATTGGTATTACGGCTCTCTGCTGTAAAAGAGCATGTCGCTGCTAGTAAACATAAAAAACAAATGTGAGTGTCGTGGAAAACTCGATTGAAACGAAGTTCCTTTCGTTGTTTATTATTACTGATAAACGTATTAAATTATTGATTAACAAATACAAATTAATGAATTATTAGCGTCTAAAAATGAAATGTCATTTAAAATAAAATAATATTTCTTTCATGGCAAAATAATGAGAAGTGCGAGGCAGATGGATATTGTTTCATCTCACTTTCTCGCAAGGCCGTCTACACTACGTCAGAAGGGGTCGTGACTGAAAAGATCTTACACTTTTTCTCGCCTAGTCCCCATCCGCTAAATTCGTTCCATCCGATAAGGAACTTCGTTCCAAAAATATGTTTGGATTCAACATAAGAAAGAATATTCTGTCAAATAAATCTATTTAAATCAAAAACACGAAACAGATTTAGATATAAACAAACATGTAACCCCTATCTTGCACGTTAAACAAGGTATGCAAGCAAGCAAGCGTGGCGATTGCATTGCATTCAAACCAAAGAAAGATGTTTAATTTTAATTTAATAAAAATATAGCATTTAAATGTGTATTTTTACTTTTCTTACTTTAATGCAATTAGACAATGGTAAATAAAGTTGGTAGTATTTAGGCATTTTTCACTACAGACTGGCAAGATTTGGTAGGTTTTTAACCAAAGTAAGGTAGGATCTGTATTTTAAAGATGGTCACACTGCCCACAGACTAATGTGACGCCGAGCCGCCGAGATTGTTTGACATATTTGTTTTTGGTTTTGGCTTGTCACAGAACTTGTCAAAAGAGTTTGAATATTGTGAATTAAAACATAATGTTGCATTATATTGCATGCTTAACGTAACAATTAACTTTCAATGTTTATTCCTTCTTCTTTATTAAGTCAACGTTTCTAAGTTATTGTGAAAATGGAGTCTGATTCTGCTCTACAAGGCGATTTGCCAGATGGCGCGGAAATGTCTCCCCTAGCAGGAAATCAACCTGAAAATGCAGAAACTTCTGAAAGTAACCTGCCGGTTCACGATTCCCAAGAGAATCCAACCGAAGAAACAGGTGAGAAGTGATATTTTGTACTACAAATAATACAGTTAAAGGATCATAGGTAAACAACAACACAAACTCACGCCTGTCACCCAGAAGGGTAGGCTGAGACTATGGACTTCCATTTGGCACGATCCTAAAACTTCCCGCTTCTTTCTTAATTATAGGTACTGTGCCTAAAATATTTTTACTCTTTCTCTTTCTTTCTAAAATAAATATTATGAACCTACGTCTTATCATATATTGAATATTTTACTGCTTAACATTAACGTCTTAAAAATATTCAGGGCAAATATTGTTACATCTAGCTACAAACGGAGCACCAACAAGTAGTAGTGATGTTTTGGATGTGGATTCTGGAATTCAAACGGCTGATAGTGAAGAACATGCCTTTCATGATCAAGGTAAAAATTGAAGTTTATATGATTTATATTGAAATTAGCATGAAAGTAAATTTTTGTGTTTGTAGTCAAACTTATTGTTAGGGTTAGATCTTGTTTTTGAAATATTCGAATGCCTGATAATGGAATCACCTTTAGATTGACTACCCAAAGTTATCACTTTGAAATGACTTCTGTTCGAAATGTCTACTTTTATAACTTACATGTACAAAGTTTCAGCTCTCGGAAACTCATAGTGTTCACCACAGAACACAATTACTCTCTACCGAGAGAAAAATACTATATTCAAACTAAAAAAATGTAACACGCATTTATGAGTGTATACTTCAAGTGGCATAGTGGGCACCCATATGAAACAATTTTTGTGGGAATTTCATACCTTTGTATTCCGAACCTTTTAAACTTTTTGTTTATTTAAGGCCATTAAAAAAAAAGAAATAGTTTCAAGCCTCACACACATTTTTTGAATTTCCATGCATTTGAGAGGTTGCACTAAAACTATTCAAATTTACTTTAGAGGAGCATATGGGGTAAAATAAAACTATAAATAGGTAACAGTTATGTAATTTTTTTCTCTGTTTTATAAACTGTACATTATTAATTAAGTTTTTTATTGATTTTGCCCATAATATTTCCACATATGTTATTGATATATATGTTATTGTCAGAAAGTTATTCTTCACAGAACATTAATGTAACAAAATTCTTATGGTGAAAACTTAACTTAGCCCTAATACGTGGTAGAGCCATACTGCAGCTATATTAGTAGTATAGTTGTAGCACGAATGGGTCGGCTCGACCGGGGAAGAACCACGCTCTCACAGAATACTAGTGTAAAATAGCAGTTTAACACTGCTGTGTTTCATATGGTGAGTGTAGAGAACCGGTGACCCTTTTTACTGGAAAAGAGGCATTCCATCTTAGTCCTCACGGGTGACAATGCATCTGCATTTTGATTCGCAAACGAGGATAAATGTAGATGTCTATGGGCCACAGCAACCACTTACCATCAGGTGGACCGTGCGCTCGTTTGTCACCCGATACAATAAAAAAAAAATGTGATCTGTAACAGATAGGATTTGAGTCAATATAGTAATTACTAATAATCTCTATAAATAATTGTCATAAGTTTTTCTTTTCCTATTTTAGGAAACCAGTGAAAAGTGAGATGATTTTGTGCTTTTTGTTTGCACTTTACACTTAATTTTATTTTTGTTTCTGATTACACATTGTGTATAAAAATTTTAAAAAATGAATTAATTTATAGTCAATATTTCATACAGTCAACAACATCTCACAAAAAATAGTTACATAATATACATATACTGAGGAAATACCTACAAACAAAAATGAAGTATTCTGAACCGATAATAACTGCAATTAGTCAAAAATCAATAATAAATATTAAAAACTAAGGCTATTAAATAAATTTGAGAAAAATTATTTTCAACATGAAAGAAGCTGACAAACAAATGTCATTTTTTTTCTTTTAATTTATGGCTTCTCTTGATGTAATTGTGCTAATATTTAATAATTTAATTTTCATCAATTAATAGGCCAATTAATTGTGCAAACCTCAACATAATTATATGAATGTAATTACTTTTAAGATGCAAACCAAAAAAAGTATAGCACAGAATTAATATTTTCAGTTGTTTCCGATATAATAATTATGTTGTATAATGTTTTGTATCAAATTTTTAAAATGGCAATTTAAAACAATGTGAAAGAAAGAAACAGCAATATCTTTGTCTGGTTTTCTTTTTAGTTGCCCAACCCACATATATAGACAAAATTATAATTGTGTGCAAATATAAATATCCTGTTTTAGGTGAACATGTGCTAGTACCTAGATCTTTGTTAGCAAAATATTTTTCAGTATTAAGTTTTATGAAAGAAACCTTTTCACATTAGTATCTGAACTGATTATATCATATGATTGTAATAGGGAATGCAGAAGCTGAAGATGAAATGGATATTGATGATAGTACACCAGGTAATGTTCCTGATGAGCCTACATACATTGGAGACAATTGCTTGTCTACACCAGTAAGTGTTAGTTTATATATTTTACATCTCCATCTTACAGTGAACGGTAACACTGATTACACTTTGCTGACCATCTTGTTGTAAACATAGAACAAAAAAACAATTGCAAATCATAGATGGAGTCTGCATACAACTATACAGGGTTATTTTTCTAAGTGTATCCAAATTTAATATATAAGTTCAAATTTATAAATACTAATGAAAATACAAGTAAACAAGGCTTCTACTTTTATTTGAAATTATCCCAAATAGAATATGATTTATGAGCAACAACTACAGCGTACATACACTGTTCTGTGTGCGAATCAATTCACAAAGTTTTTGTCTACTATTTACTTTCTTAATGACACGTTTACTACTAATGCATAATATAATAATATTGTAGTCTTTGACTCGATCACTGTGTTTTCGACAGCCGAGCTTATTACTGAATGACCACCTCGAGCACTTCCAGCTAACAGTTAGCTGCAAAAATTGCTCTCCGATTGGTGGTACACGTGCGTTAATTCCTTGTCTTTGCAAACACAGTAAACACTGTAATATTGCACCATTTCATAGTACCCGCAGTTCAAATATTTTTGTTACGTCATTAGTAACAAAGTGTACGTAATGAGGTCACGGTCAACACTGTCAGCTGTTGGCTTGGCTGGGCGAGCGGACGCATGTACTTGCGATGTAACGGTAAATAAAAAAAAAGAGCGGGAGAGATGCGCTACAAGGTACCCTTACGAATGTTTGCGTGCATAAAATAGTAAACGTTAGATATTAATGAATGAAAGTCAGTTAAAATAATGCATTACCACATATTTTGAACTTAAGATATATAAATGACTGAATGTTTGAGATTTGCCTATATTACTTATATTTGCCTATATTATTTGTACTGAACCTTCTCTGCAAATTTGGCTGGTAATTGCAAAATAACCCTGTATTATGCATAGTAGTAGAGCTCCATGCACTGTTAAGCTACTCAAGCTTTATATTTTGTGGTATGCGCGACGAGAAAACTTGACGTATCCTCCTATCGGATTCTAGTTGCAATATCTGCCTGCATGATGTGACGTAATTTTCATCTTGTTCAGATTCTTACACACGTCTTGAGGATTCAGCATGAAGCATGAAATTCTTGCAGTGATTCTGCCTCAACGACGATATTATCAGCAGTGTGTGAGATGTACTTACCAGCCAGCTCGATCTTAAGACATATATCTTGTAGCTCGTCGGTATAGCGGCGGCTTAGCTGACTGAATCTTGACATCATTAAAATTCGGGATATCTTTGTTGAGGATCCTATCTTGAAGGACGCCAAGCAATTCCAAATATTAAGGAAGGCTTCGTTACGCATATTCATAATTTGCGGGCGTTTGTGTGGTGTGCTTGGTTCTGGACGAGTTTTATTTTTACTAGAAATTCTTACCTATAGTATTAAATTGAAACTAGCCCGAAAAAAAAGCTGATTATCTTCAAAGGCAGAAAAGATCTTGAATCATAGCTACAAACACTCTCTATCAAGTCACCTTTCAAACAAAAAAAATATAAATCTACATTGATTCATCCGTTTGGGAGCTACGATGCTACAGACAGACAGATACATAGATAAACATGTTAAACACATAAATGTATTACACGACTCTGTTTGCGTCGGGAGTTAAAAATGGTAATATAGCTAAAGATATGTATGCTGATTTTCATATTTCATATGGTGTAAGAAAACACCCTGCAAGGAATTTTAGACGTATTAGAATATCCATAATTTTTTTTAGTTTTGATCAAATATATGATTTATTTTTATTGTTGTGAAATACATGAATTAAATACAGGGAGTCACTGAAGATAATTCACCACAAGAAGACAGTCAGTCAGATCCAATGCTAAAAGAACCTGTTTTGGATGAGAATGAAGGTGCTGATGCCGCTCAAGAGGAGTCTCCAGACCAATCAATTAGCTCTGCTATGCCTATAGAGGGAGATGGCGCACCTATCATTCAGGATGGTATGACATTGGAATATATTATACAATATATTGATAGGTAAAAGCAAAATTATTTAAGCAATATTTTTAGAAGATAAAAGCTTCCAGGAGAGCAATATGAAGTTAACAATATCAGAAAAGAATTTAACAGCTGATTTATTATTTATACAGAAAAGTGCAAATATAATAATAACAGTTTTCATTTTTGATATTTTGGGTTAATGAAGAAATACTAAAATATAATATTTTTTCTTTGACTTAAAATTTTACAAAAATTTTATTTAATTATCAATATTATTCTGTTGTGACAAAGTTATTGTTACTTTCAACTTTTTTGTTTATTATAAGCCATTGCTTGACTACAGTTCAACTTTAGAAATCATTAAATAACGAGGGAATTAATATATAATTTTAAGTTTTTTGAAGTGGGTTATTCCTTTTTTTTTTTTAAGGTAAATTATTTGACCCTTTTAGTGTGGACAAAAAAACAACCTTAAGGTAACATCTAGAATGTAGTCTTAATAGTTACACTAAATTTTTATCCCTTTTTTTCCCACCATAATGGTGAAATTTTATCTTCAAATTTAATAAAAATAGAAACATTAAAATTGATTCCCAATTTGCGAAGATAACGCGTAATATACATAAATAATAGAATTGAACCAAGAACCTCTTCCTTTTTTGAAGTCGGCTTAAAGCATATAATGATTTATAGAAGAATCGAGTACAATGGATGAAGATATGGGTGGAGGCGAGGGGGTTGCTAGCAGCGATGATGTCAATGATATCAGCAGTGCAGCCCAGGAAGTGCTTAGCACTGGTATCAGGTGAGTGTCAGAATATAAAATTAATTAATGTAGTTGTTTAAAGAAATATCTGATTATTTAAAACTTTTGATTATTATTTATATACACTGTTAAAAGGGTTGATCCTTGGTTTAGCAGCAGAAAAAACATATGAACACTTAAAAAATATGTTAATCTGTTTCTTAGTTCCAGTACAGCAGAGGGTGGAGCAGACATTTCCAGCAGTGGACAAACTGAAGCAGCTCTAATCTCGTCGACTGCAAATGGTCCGGCTGCACTTCACTCGTTCTCAGTACTTCCACAACAACAGCAAACTAATGAGTAAGTATTTTCCATATACATATATAAATTTTATAAGTTTTTGCTATTGGAACAGAGTTCCTTATCGCACGGTACGAATTTGACGGATGGGGGCTAGGCGAGAGAAAGTGTCAGATTTTTCCGTCACGACCCCCTTCCTATAGTGCAAGCGATATGGAATAATATCCATCTCCCTCGCACTTTTTCTTATCTGGCCATGAAAGACTTATTATTTTAATAAACCCTAGTAAGTCATTTATTTGTGGTAAATAAAATAATGACTTTCAATAAGTATTATGTAATAAGCCATATTGAATAAAAATCATTCTATTCTATTCTATTTGTATTTGTTAATCAATAGTATTCGAAAATTGGAAACAAACAATAGCAATAAGAACTAAAATTAACAACCAAAACAAAATAACAAATAATCTCCCACAACGGCTGGTCCCCGCGGGAGTTATAGACCACCACCCTCTAACAAAAAGAAGAAACAAAATACTCAACATTGCAACCTTAAATACCAGAACCCTTAGAACTGAAGAAAGCCTAAATGAACTAGAAAAAGCCCTTGAAGACATAAAATGGGACATCCTGGGAATTAGCGAGATGCGAAGATTAGGAGAAAAGATTGAGGAACGCACTGACTACATACTATTCCATAAAGGTGAAGTAGCTGGTCAGAGAGGAGTAGGATTCTTAATCAAACAGTCAATGAAACAACACATACAAGAGCTAATTGGAATTTCTGATCGAATAGCCATTCTTAACATCGGAATACCAGGTTATAAAAAAATATGGTCAATCATACAAATTTATGCACCAACAGAGCAAGCAACAAAAGCAGAAATTAAACTTTTCTACAAAGAATTATCACAAACCTAACAAGATATTCATATAACCGTCTTATTATAATGGGCGACTTCAATGCTCAAGTCGGAGCGAAACAATGCATGGAGGAATACGTCCTGGGGAACTTAGGCCAAGGAAGAAGAAGTCCTCATGGTGAATTGCTAGTCGAATTCTTGCTACAACACAACCTAACGCTCTTGAACAGTTTTTACAAGAAAAACCAAAAGAACAAGTGGACATGGATATCTCCGGATGGCAACACCAGAAACGAAATTGACTACATAACAACAAACTATCCAAAGGCTTTCACAGATACGTCGGTCTTAACTAAATTCAACTTCAATACAAACCATTGTATGGTAAGAAGCAACATAAGAACAGAAACATCAAAGAAATCTAGAAAGTATTTTGCCTCACACTTTATAAGACACCACAGTGACGAAACCTTAAAGAAAATAAAACAATCTTTAATTGAATCAGCAGAAGAATTGACTATGAGTAACATTGATGCCCACACAAAGTATGAAAAGCTGGAAAATCTACTAACTTAAGTAAAACATGATACTAGCAGGGGAAACAAGTACAAACTTAGTGATACAATGCTACAACTTATAGAAAATAGAAAAAATCTAATTTCAAAACACCCTAAAAAAATCACATAAAAACAATAACGAAATTAAGTAAGGAGATTAGAGAAAACATAAGAAAAGACAGGAAGACCAAGAGGCTGCAAACATTAGAAAAGCATATAGCGAAAACAGGAGGAGTGAAAAAAATGCTTAAAGAACTTAAAGAATCAAATAAAGAATGGATACCAAAACTAAACAAAAAGGAGAATACCTCATCCAATAGAAAAAACATAAACGAAATAGCCACAAAGTTTTACCAGGACCTTTACTCAAATTCAGACAGAAAACAAAAACACGATTCGAGGACAGACGCCAGTAATAACCAGGAAAAAGTGATAACTGAACCAAAAATACTTCCCAGAGAAGTAGAAAAGGCTATTTATAGTCAGAAGATGGAAAAAGCTCCAGGTCCAGACAAAGTGACAAACGAACTTATTAAAGGCACCCTTGAAGAACTACTGCCAATACTCACTTCATTATTCAATGAAATACTATCAACGGGTCTAATCCCTACTAAATGAAAAACATCAAACATTATACTTATATTCAAGAAAGGAAATAAGGAAGATATAGGAAACTACAGACCTATAAGCCTGATGTCAAATATTTACAAGGTATTTTCTAAAGTTATCCTGGAAAGAATAAGCAAAAAGTTAGACGAAAACCAACCACGGGAGCAAGCAGGCTTTAGACATAATTACTCCACTCTGGACCACATACACACAGTGAAACAAATTGTAGAAAAATATAATGAGTTTAATAAAAAACTCTATATGGCATTCATTAATTACTTTAAAGCTTTTAACAGCATAAGGCACACAGCCATATGGGAAAGCGTAGAACACCAGGGGATACCTTTAAATTATATCAATATTATAAAAAACATATACTTGAACGGCGAAGCGAGGATCCAACTAGAAACCTTGGGAAAAAAGTTCAAGATCGAGAGGGGAGTAAGACAGGGAGATCCTATTTCGCCAAAACTGTTCTCGGCTGCTCTGGAAAGTATCTTCCGCAAACTAGACTGGGAAGAATACGGTCTCAATGTGCAGGGTGTAAAACTGAACCACCTAAGATTTGCAGATGATATAGTCTTATTTGAGGAAAATCCGACGCATCTTGTTAAAATAATAGAATCACTAAATGAAGAAAGCCTGAAAGTGGGCCTAAGCATGAACAAAAACAAAACAAAACTGCTTACAAACTCTAAAAAAGTAATTATAAAAATTGACAACCAACCACTCGAATATGTGTCAGACTATATCTACTTAGGACAGATAATATCTCACAAAGATCAAACCACTAAGGAAATTGAGCGAAGAATAGGAAATGGATGGAAGAAATACTGGTCTTTGAAAGAAGTTTTAAAATCTAAGAAGCTAAGTATGCAAATAAAAAGGAAAGTTTTCAACACATGTATACTTACAGTCATTACTTACGGATGCGAAACCTGGGCACTCACCAAACACCACAGAGAAAAGTTGGAACGCTGTCAGAAAGCCATGGAGAGAAGTTTGACAGGAATAAGGAAACAGGACAGAGTAAGATGTAGCATAATAAGAGATAAAACCAAAGTTGTCGATATAATAACCCGAATAGACCAACAAAAGTGGAGATGGACAGGTCACATGATGCGTGATCCACAAGAGAAGTGGTGCAAAACTGTTACTGACTGGTATCGCAGAGATGGCAAAAGAAGTAGAGGACGCCAACAAACAAGATGGGAAGATGACTTAAAACTCACGGCTGGACATCATTGGAGAAGGGTAACGCGGGACAGGTCCCAGTGGAAAATGTTAGAGGAGGCCTATGCCAAAAGGCAAACTGAGCTTCGGAACATATTATAACAAACAAGAACATGTATATATTTAACCAAGAAGTTCAGAATAAAAAAAAGGCTTATTATTATTATTAATCAATAGTATAATACGTTTATCAATCATAATATACTACGAAAATCACTTCGTTCTAACCGAGTGTTCCACGACACTCACGCATGTTTTTTTTATTTTGTCCTAACTCACTTTTGGAAGAAAATATTTGACTGAATGGCGCAAAATTTACTGCTGACCCTTTTAAATTTCACATTTAGGGGTCATCTATAAAAACCTATATAATTAAAAACCTCTTTTTAAAGACATAATTTAAAATATAAAACTATTTATTGTTAGTTTGAAGATGGTTAGTTACAGAATAAATATAATATAGATTAGTTAATTAAGTTTCAATAATCATAATATCGCCACTGGATGGAAGTGGGAGTTGTTTGTGCTTTGTGCAATATCACTTTGTACTTATGAAAATGCTGATGTGGCTATTTGGATGTATGTAGGTTTTGGTACAAGCTTGAACTGAGGTAATATTTACAGGTATATATAACCAGGTACTTACATTTTCATAGTTTATACATATGCATATTTCATATACTGTTAGACGCATAATAAGGCTCGTAATCATTTGACAGAAATATAGTGGCTGAATTTAGAAAGTACAATAAATTTTAGTGCACTTTTTGACGATATTAGTAATTACCAGTGTAAAATTTCGCATTATTCAGCTGTTTTAGTTGTAAGATGTTAGTCTTAATTTACGATTATTGATATTTATACATTAACGAGAATCCTATATTTTGCTGTAATAGACGACGTGAATCAATCATCAATCAATTATCTTTGTGTGGCAAATGGCATAAAGACATTTAATCAGTTTTATTGCTGACATGCTGGTTGAAGACCAGACTTATTACTAAAATTTAAAATTTTAAACCACCCGTAACTAGATTTCCAATTGCAGGCATTGGTAAACTCACTTGCACACTGATGTTAGTGATTTTCTGTTTAGATTCAGCGATGCCGACACCTCAGAAATGGAAGGCGTAGCTGACACAATGCCAACAGTGAGCGAGTCTATGCCTATTCTTACCATGACGGCAAATGGTGCTGCATTGCTATCGCCCAATCTCTTACAAGGTAAGCTATGACTTTGATTGGTATAAAAATTGCTTAACGTTACACGAATGTTGATAATTTAAAAAAAAATATTGTTAACATGCAAAGACTTCTACACGTATGAGGAGGCGTTTTTAAGTTCGCGGAATGGTTAGTTAGGTAATAAGTGGGGACGTCGCCGAATTACGTACTAATTGAGCAGCTCATTATTTGTATAAATACCAAGTTTTATTGTAATTAGATAGATAGATTAGTCTTTGAGTTATCGTCAACCAAACAAGTCAATCGGGAAGAAATTGTGAAATATGGAGAAAATCGAGTTCCGTGCTGTTATAAAGTTCCTTACCAAGCGCGGAAAATCAGTTCAGACTATATTGGACGAGATGTCATCTATTTACGGAGACTCTTGTCCAAGTAAAACTATTGTTTACAAGTGACATACACTTTTTAAACAAGGCAGAGAGTCACTTGAAGACGACGACCCACGCTTAGGAAGGCCAATCGAGGTGACCACGTTGGAAATTATTCAAAAAACCGAAAAATTAATATTAGAAGATGCCCGCCTAAAGAAAAACAGCTCGCAGAAATGGTTGGAGTATCAGATGCAACCATTTTCAAAATTCTTCATGACCATCTTAGCATGACTTATTCTTCAATATGACACATGAGTTATTCTTCAATATGTAAAGACTTAAGAAGACTGATTGTGATGTGTTGTAATCGTTCCTAGAATTATATTATTGAAGAATATAATAAAAAAAAAACAGTAATAGCATTATTTTTGATTATAATAATTTTTTATAGCATTTTTAAGTAGATAACTTTAAAAAATGTGTAGGTAGCTATAATAATTACTTAAGTAAACGATTGTAAAGCCAAATGATTATCTGCTTATTTGAATTTTACTTTTCCTCATAAATCTAATCCGATCCGAAGTTAACGGATAATCCGAAATATTTTTTTTAATACAGTTGCTCAAAAAGTGGCGTATTGCAGGGACGTATAGCGTTCGGGATGTGGGTTGTTACATACTCGTGCTTTTTCTTTACCTTATCCGAACTCGTGCGTTCTCTTTGCCAACTGTCAAAATAATGTCTATTAAAAAGAAAAAACCAACCACGAAGTTTTTACTAAAAAAAATTCATAGAAGTTTTTATGATTCATGCAAATATTTCTAAAAAGAAGCTACTAATTTGTTTCAATATCAGATTTAATGATTTGATTCAATGAGTTAGGTTAGGTTTCATTTAATTTCATCTCATTAAATTTCATTTTCATTTCATATCAATAAAAAAAATTTACTGAAGACTTGGCTGTATGGGCATAGTTCCCTTTGCCTACCCAGAATGGGTGAAGAAAACAAAAAAAACTGCTTATATTCTTTTACGGTTAGCGCCATTTTCCAAAAATGTTCTTTATTAAATTGTTTCATTTTTTCGCAACTGTATTAAAAATTTGTTGTTCAGTACACGTGCGGAACCGTCATTGTAACTTGTTCCGACTGTCAACCCTCACCTTCGGCTGCGCCTCGGCTCGGGCAGACATTTGTCGGAACTCTTTGCAATGACAGGGTTTTCGCACTCGTAATGAAATATACTATATATCCGTAACCAAAACCGAAACCGATATTATATTATTCCCATATCCGCATCCGTATCCAGATCCGAAATGTGATATCCGTTACATCCCTAGTATACATAGAAGTGTTTGTTGACATGTGACCTTATTACTGATTACGTGACGTGTGCAGGTGAGGAGGGCGGCGCGGGCGTGTCGTCGTCGGTGGCGGGGGAGGAGGGCGCGGCGGCGGAGGGCGAAGCGGGCGAGGCGGGCGCGGAGGGCGCGGAGGGCGCGGCGGGAGCGGGCGCGGGCGCGGCGGAGGGCGAGGGCGCGGTGAGCAGCTCGGTGGCGGGCGCGGCGCCGCCGCTGCCGCCCGCCGACGCGGCGCACGCGCTGGCCACGCTCGCCTCGGCCGCGCTGCATCACCACCAAGACCAGGTACCTCCTTTTAACGGGGACATCCACACCTTTGTGCCCCCCAGGACGGCGCCACTTTGGAATGAGGTGAAATATTTGACAGATTTCTTAGCAGGGTAGTTTATTTGTTGTTATATTGTAAGGGTTAATGTTTTCTTTTGTAATATGCGTTACTAAGATTGGAAATGAATAAACCACATATATTTCTAACCCCGCCTATACATTATCGGCCATGATTCACAACCACAGAATGGGGCATGTTTATCAATCATTGCACAGCTGCCCACACAATCGTGCATCCTACATATTTGTACTGTCATCTGTCCGAGATGGACGTTGAAACAGTAGCAGCTGTTGTCTTTAATTAAAATTAAAAGCATCATCTGGCAGTGCCAGCGATAGTAGGTAGTAGCCATTATCATCTAACCTTAGAACCTTTGTTAAAAAATGTAGAATATGTTATGACCGACATACACGGTCAGTTAAACTGATCAGTTGAACTGACGGCAACTCACGGATTTTTCCGGGCGCTCAGTTAATTAAACTGATCAGTTGAACTAACGTACATCCAAAAACTGTCCGTGAGTGTTAAATCTTAAGTTGAAATTTGAAGCCAGTAAGTAAGGAAATAGTTTTGGCTTACATCCATTTTAGTTGATGAGTTAAACTGATCAGTCCAACTGATCGTGTGTCGAGCATTAGGTACTTGTACCCCTGACAACAACTGACAACAAACTCACATTCGCATTTATAATATTAGTTAGGGTAGTTTGGTACTTCCAACGTTTTTATCTTTATGATATTTATTTTTTGGATTCCATATTGCGGATTCATTTTGGCGAATTTAAATGTTTTGTCATTAGTCCACTTCGTCTCCTACATTTCATTGTACCTAAATTAATTACGTAAAATCAAACTATGACAAAATAGCACACGTCCTCACTGTACCATAAACAAATAAGAACTGAGTGATCGGATCATGTAGATTGTAGACGCTCGCACGATGATGGCCGAACTTCCTTTGATATTTGTTCGAAAAACCGACACAGCGGCCATTACGCTCGATCATCATCGATCATGGGCAATTATAGGCGATTATGCCTTCTACACGATCGTGATCACTAATATTCGTCCACAATGGTCGATGGTGTATAGGCCCCATAAAAGTAGAATTATTTAAAAAAAAAGTTGAAACTAGCCAAAAAATTAAAGTGAAAATTACTGACGTATTGTTTTGTGTATTAATATAATACTCTAGAAACGAATAAACTTTTATTTAAAACTAACTTCTCAATCTATATCTATACAAATAAATAAAATTGAAGTGTCTGTTTGTAATATTAAAATAACAGCTTTTTACTAAATGCATATGAAAGTATATACGGTACTTATAACAAAAACACAATTTTTAAAATTTTTGTCTGTCTGTCGGTTTCTCTGTCTGTCTGTTTGTTCCGGCTAATCTCCGAAACGGCTGGACCGTATTCGACGGGACTTTCAGTGGCAGATAGCTGATGTTATAAGGAGTAACTTAGGCTACTTATATTTTAGAAAAATAATTAGGGTTCCGCGCAACATAATTAAAACCCTAAATCACACGCGGGCGAAATCGCGGTGAACAGCTAGTTAAATATAATTTTGTAACAAAGAACTTCACCTCAGTTCCAACCAGCGACATCTGGTGAGCGGAAGATTATTAGCCCTCTGTGACGTGATATCAACTACAAGCCCTTCGGCTATAAAGTAATTATATATATATATATATATATATATATATATATATATATATATATATATATATATATATATATATATATATATATCTAATATATAAAATTCTCGTCGCGGTGTTTGTTACCAAACTCCTCCGAAACGGCTGAACCGATTTGTATAAAATTTTGCGTGCATATCGGGTAGGTCTGAGAATCGGCCAACATCTATTTTTAAGGGTGACCCACCCCTAAATATTTTTTTTGACAACAGTTATTTTTATTATATAATATATATATGAAAAATACATTAAACTTCAAATTTTCGCCCTACTACGATCAACCCATATATATATTTTATTACAAAATGTGATGTGATTTAAACTAATGTCTGTTTCACGAAAGATGTCTCACAGAAATATGCGAGTCAAAATATAATTAAAGTGCGCGAAAATTGACGCCGTGGCTAAGAAACTTCTTTAGTTAGTATATAAATAAATGTAATCAGTATGACATAACTGTCATAAAGCTATCAAGCTAAATGTATAGTACGCGAGAATACCGAGTTCGATCCTCGGCACCAATTAAATTATTTATATCATTTTAAGTACTATATTACCATATTAAAAAATTTCAAAACTGAAAAAACCAGCATTTCTGGACGTGTGAAATCTGCTAACATTAGAGCAGCTAGGCAGCCTCTTTTATATCTAAAAATGCATAAAGTTACAGTGTGTATATGTCCCACAGTGGACACAGAAATTCTCTCATTTCTAAGATGGTTTTATGGCAAGGAAATGTCTTTGAATTTAAAAAAAAAAGCTATTTATTTACTGCTAATCATTATCTCAATATTTTTGTAGCCCGAGCAAGAAGAACAAAAAATCCAGAATGACGAAGACGCGTGGTACACTGTTGGTATCGTAAAAGGTACCACTTTTACGGTGAGAACATTGTAAATTCGCAATTATTAGACACAAATGTCACGTAGTTACAAAATATACTTCAACTGTATTGTTTTTTTCAATTTCAGGTTCAAAATTACATTTCCGACCCTAATGTTGATCTTTCTAATCTATCCCTTGACAATTTACCGGATCTTAGTGGACTTCCGGTGACACCACTGGAACATGGCACTGCATATAAATTCAGAATTGCTGCGATTAACTCTTGTGGGCGCGGCGAATTCAGTGAAGTAAGTTTCATATAGATCTCATTTTTATATACTATACAAAATTCACCACAACCAAATTTCTTATTAATGTTGGTATATTTAAGAGCCCTTATTAAAATACATCATTTATTCGCAATATCAAAATGTAATTTTACAAAATTAAATAAATTGCACTCTGTAACATTCTTTTTAAAAAAAAAAGAATAATATGAAAGAATGAAAAACACATTTATTTTTAGTTTGAGCACGACATAAAAACAGACAAGAATAATTTCCAAAAAAAAAGAAACAAATAAAACAACAACAGAATTAGACTTATGACTGTCTCTAGCCTTACAAGAATAACATTTTTCTTTACATACTTAAGGCCTCAGTATGCTCCTCCTGCTACGGACAGCTTGTTGTTTGTAACCACACATGTCTGATTAGTTTAAAATTTATTTTTTCTTTGCAATTATGTCAACTTTGGGTCATTTATACAATAGTAGAAAACATTCCTTGAAAGTGCATTGTTGCTAATGATGCCAGTTGCAGGTGAGAAATACAAACTATTAGCGAGATTACAAGCTTTTTATTTTTTATAATTTGTTAAACAATATTTCTAGTAAAAGACTAAAACATCGTTGCAATTACATGGTTGTTGGTTGCATAATATATAATTTATATTATATTCAAATCATAGCAATTGGACCTAAAGAATCAGTTAAATTGATTTACAAGTGGACTCTTGTATGTTATTATTTATTTTGGCTTACATTTTGTTAGAGAAAGAATAATAACCGTTTTCTTTACAGGAATCTGCGTTTAAAACGTGTTTGCCAGGATTTCCGGGCGCACCGTCAGCGATAAAGATATCAAAGTCTGTTGAGGGCGCACACCTCTCGTGGGAGCCGCCACAAGTTGCTGCTGAAGGGATTTTCGAATATTCTGTTTACCTCGCCGTACGCTCAAATACTCAGCCTAAGGTTAGCAATATTTTGTTAGAAAGTAACTGCACAGTTCTTTTTCGTATTATTTACTTATTCTATTGAATGATACTAGTTTTACGGATTTTGTCGCTTTATATTAACTTATATTTCCGACATTTCGCGTAATTTCCAGCTCCCATGGTTGGGCCCAAGCGGGGACCAGAAAAAGTCGTACAATTATGTAAGATTTTTATCTTCAGTTCGTACATGCACGAAAGCTGTAAAACTCATGATTTTTACAGCTTTCCCTGGCCAAGACCGACTTCAAGATCAAGAGATATAATCGCGCCACAAATTCAATATTGCCACGCGTAAAGTTTTTATTGTGCATGATTTTAATTTTAATATTTTAATCACTTCATTTTTTTTTAATTTTTGTTTTGTTTTTGTTTAAAAAACGTTACCTCCACACTAGGAATTTCTCCTGTATCGTGGGGGCAGTTTACATACATAAATTTCACAAGGACACCTTTTGTACCTATTGTTTCCGTATTAATTTATTGATAGATCAATTTTATACTATGTCAAAGAAAAAAATAAATTTAAAAAATATCTATGCCAAAGACTTCTACTTTATGCACGTACCCATTACAATCTATTTTTTCCTACTGGTAAAAAAATACCGCTATACGAAGCATTGAAGCATTACGTACTAGGTAGCAGGTATTACAACAGACACCGCGAACAAAATCTTTGCGGCAGTGTGGGGCGCGTGGTCGGATACTCGGAAGCTCAGAGTACATTTTTATGGCACAGATTGCAGATTAAGTTTGAGCCCACGGACTCTAACGCGCGTTGCAAAAAGTCAAGCCTCTGCGTCTTTTCTAGTACGTAGTAGTTACATATTACTTCAATGATGTGAAGTGACTATTTACCATCGACAACTTTTACAATTATTAGGTGTTTATTTATTATCTGCCTCGTATCATATCACACGTGTTAAGCAGTGACGGAGAACATGGCGACATAACAAAGTCCGTACTGGAGTCATCATCATCATTACAGCCCTTCACAAGTCCACTGCTGAACATAGGCCTCCCCCAAGGAATGCCACGAAACACGGTTCTGAGCCACCTGAATCCATCGACTTCCTGCATGTCTTACGAGGTCGTCACTTCATCTAGTGGGGGACGCCCTACACTTCGTTCGCCGGTACGAGGCCGCCACTCGAGAACCTTTTTCCCCATCGGTTGTCGGTTCTTTGAGCTATATGGCCGGCCCATTGGCACTTCAGCTTACTAATCGGTTGTGCTATGCGGGTACTCTGGTTCTACTACGGACATCCTCATTTCTAAGTTTATCACGCAAAGAAACTCCGAGCATAGCCCTCTTCATAGCTCGCTGAGCAACCTTGAGCATCCTCATCCGGCCAGCAGTGAAGGACCACGTCTCAGTTCCATAGGTCATCACTGGCAACATGCACTGGTTGTATAGTCTCGTTTTCAAGTTTTGAGGTATACCTGACGATAAGATGTGCCGTAATTTCCCGAACGCTGCCCAACAGAGTTGAATCCGTCGATTGATCTCTCGGTCGAAGTTGGACTTACCTAGTCGGACTATTTGTCCCAGGTAAACATACTCGTCAACAACTTCGAGCTTAGTGCTCCCAACAACTACCGATATAGGTGTGACATGGACATTAAACATGATCTTTGTTTTGTCCATATTCATCTTAAGACCTATCCGTTGGGAGACACTATTGAGGTCATTGAGCATAGTGCTTAGGTCCTCTAGCGATTCTGCCATAAGAACTATATCGTCGGCAAATCGAAGGTGAGTGATGTACTCGCTTTTGATGTTAATACCGTATTCATTCCAGTCCAGTAGCTCGATAACGTCTTCCAATGCAGCGGTGAAGAGTTTCGGGGATATAACGTCGCCTTGTCTTACACCTCTCTGCAGTTGGATAGGTTTCGTACTCTGGTTCTGTACTCGGATAGCCATCGTAGCTCTACTGTACAAACACTTCAGCACTTCGATATACCGATAGTCAACTTGGCACCGCTGAAGGGACTGTAGCACAGCCCAAATTTCGACGGAATCAAAGGCTTTCTCATAGTCCACATACGCAAGGTAAAGTGGCAGATTGCACTCTTCTGTCTTCTGTACAATTTACCAAAGGGTGTGTATGTGGTCCATGGCACTAAAGCCTTTTCGGAAACCGGCTTGTTCGGGAGGCTGGAAGTAGTAGTCTGCGTGCGTGACGATTCGTAATGACTCGAAAACAGCACGTAGACGCGGCTCAGAAGGGAAATCGGACTGTAGTTCTTCAAGAGAGTGTTATCGCCTTTCTTAAGGAACAAGACCTCCGCATTTCTGCTCCACGCCTCCGGAGCAGTACCACTATGGAGGACGGAATTAAAGAGCTTCTGAAGGACTTATAGTATTGGTTTTTCACCCGCTTTCAGAAGCTCCGCTGTAATTCCATCCTTGTCCGGGGACTTGCCGTTTTTAGCCGGAAGATATGGGGTAGTGGATATTCTTAACCGCCACTACACGGTTACTACTGGAGTGCGGTGTATTTATTACGCTCCGCAGTCCCGTCTCAAATGAAACGTCTGTGTTGAGCATTGGAACGTATTTTTTATAGGATAAGAATGACAAACGGGTACACAGCCCACCTGATGATAAGAGGTTGCTGTGGTTCATAGACATCTACATTTATTCTCGATTATGAATCAAAATGTAGATGTGTTGCCACCCATGGGGCCTAAGAGGAAATGACTCGTTTCCATTTAAAATGTTCCCCGTTTTTCTACATTTCTTCACACCTTACGAAACATCATCGTTAATATTTAATAATAATTAAAAAATATGGCGGTATTCTGTGAGAGCGTGGCCCTTCCTCGGTCGAGTCCGACTCATTCGTTTTACAACTATACTGCATGCATATACAACTGCAACACGACTCCTGCACGCATACCACGTGCACATGTGTATGAGCAGTATGTTTACGTTTGAACTTTAGGAGGCGGCGAAGTCCCAGCTGGCGTTCGTGCGCGTGTACTGCGGCAAGGCCAATACGTGCGTGGTGCCGGCCGCGTCGCTGGGCTCGGCGCACGTGGACTCGTCCACCAAGCCCGCCATCATCTTCCGCATCGCCGCGCGCAACGACAAGGGCTACGGGCCCGCCACGCAAGTCAGGTGGCTCCAAGGTTAGCTCCAACTTACCACTCGTCCACCAAGCCCGCCATCATCTTCCGCATCGCCGCGCGCAACGACAAGGGCTACGGGCCCGCCACGCAAGTCAGGTGGCTCCAAGGTTAGCTCCAACTTACCACTCGTCCACCAAGCCCGCCATCATCTTCCGCATCGCCGCGCGCAACGACAAGGGCTACGGGCCCGCCACGCAAGTCAGGTGGCTCCAAGGTTAGCTCCAACTTACCACTCGTCCACCAAGCCCGCCATCATCTTCCGCATCGCCGCGCGCAACGACAAGGGCTACGGGCCCGCCACGCAAGTCAGGTGGCTCCAAGGTTAGCTCCAACTTACCACTCGTCCACCAAGCCCGCCATCATCTTCCGCATCGCCGCGCGCAACGACAAGGGCTACGGGCCCGCCACGCAAGTCAGGTGGCTCCAAGGTTAGCTCCAACTTACCACTCGTCCACCAAGCCCGCCATCATCTTCCGCATCGCCGCGCGCAACGACAAGGGCTACGGGCCCGCCACGCAAGTCAGGTGGCTCCAAGGTTAGCTCCAACTTACCACTCGTCCACCAAGCCCGCCATCATCTTCCGCATCGCCGCGCGCAACGACAAGGGCTACGGGCCCGCCACGCAAGTCAGGTGGCTCCAAGGTTAGCTCCAACTTACCACTCGTCCACCAAGCCCGCCATCATCTTCCGCATCGCCGCGCGCAACGACAAGGGCTACGGGCCCGCCACGCAAGTCAGGTGGCTCCAAGGTTAGCTCCAACTTACCACTCGTCCACCAAGCCCGCCATCATCTTCCGCATCGCCGCGCGCAACGACAAGGGCTACGGACCCGCCACGCAAGTCAGGTGGCTCCAAGGTTAGCTCCAACTTACCACTCGTCCACCAAGCCCGCCATCATCTTCCGCATCGCCGCGCGCAACGACAAGGGCTACGGGCCCGCCACGCAAGTCAGGTGGCTCCAAGGTTAGCTCCAACTTACCACTCGTCCACCAAGCCCGCCATCATCTTCCGCATCGCCGCGCGCAACGACAAGGGCTACGGGCCCGCCACGCAAGTCAGGTGGCTCCAAGGTTAGCTCCAACTTACCACTCGTCCACCAAGCCCGCCATCATCTTCCGCATCGCCGCGCGCAACGACAAGGGCTACGGGCCCGCCACGCAAGTCAGGTGGCTCCAAGGTTAGCTCCAACTTACCACTCGTCCACCAAGCCCGCCATCATCTTCCGCATCGCCGCGCGCAACGACAAGGGCTACGGGCCCGCCACGCAAGTCAGGTGGCTCCAAGGTTAGCTCCAACTTACCACTCGTCCACCAAGCCCGCCATCATCTTCCGCATCGCCGCGCGCAACGACAAGGGCTACGGGCCCGCCACGCAAGTCAGGTGGCTCCAAGGTTAGCTCCAACTTACCACTCGTCCACCAAGCCCGCCATCATCTTCCGCATCGCCGCGCGCAACGACAAGGGCTACGGGCCCGCCACGCAAGTCAGGTGGCTCCAAGGTTAGCTCCAACTTACCACTCGTCCACCAAGCCCGCCATCATCTTCCGCATCGCCGCGCGCAACGACAAGGGCTACGGACCCGCCACGCAAGTCAGGTGGCTCCAAGGTTAGCTCCAACTTACCACTCGTCCACCAAGCCCGCCATCATCTTCCGCATCGCCGCGCGCAACGACAAGGGCTACGGGCCCGCCACGCAAGTCAGGTGGCTCCAAGGTTAGCTCCAACTTACCATTCACACGCACGGAACCTGCAGTCTTTATTTCTTTTGACTATATATTTCGTTGTATAAAATTTCTGTTTACCTACCTTAAAGTCTAAAGATATTGGTATGCAAAAAATAAATTATATAAGTATATTAAATAGTTTAAAGTGTTAGGCTCTTCATATTAAATAATCTTAAGTCCAAAGTCAAACCTTTTATTCAAGCTCTTCTCTAAAATCAGCACAATAATAAAACTATATCCTTTTTTTAAATATAATTTTTTACAACATAATAGTAGTTAAAGGAGTTGCTAATGGAGAACAAGAGTTTTCACACACCACTGTCCTCAATATATTGATTTATTTTATTATGATCCCTTTTAATAAAATTTCCATTTGAAGTTTTTTTTTATATTTTGTCAAATTGTTGCACCACTATGTTTTTAGAGATTATCGATTATGCATTTGCTCAGAAAATACTTTCTAGTTTTGGCCAATGTGAATTTGAGAACTTGGAATGTATCAACTCAAGCTGTTCTAATAAAACCCGGTATTTGTCTTTGCATGCGAATCTTAGTAATTCAATTTAACTTCTGTAATCCGTCCCTATACAGGTAATAATTTCCTTCTTTGTTTAACAGGTCAGTACAAAGCTATTGTTCTCAACTTTCAGCAGTTACTAGTTGTATTATCCGAGTCTCGTTATCAGTTTGTAAACAGTCCACTGCTCGACATGAGCCTTTATGATGGTGGGAAGGATATTTAATAAATGTACACACTATTACATCCGAGTCTGTCGCCGATCGTATAAGCGTTTTTGCTTACACTTGTGTCACTTATAATATATATCACGCATAGTTGATAACGTCCGAAAATATTCGCAAGTTAACGCAGTGGTGGTCGAAGTCAGTCGTCGTACTAATTTCGTCCACCATAGGAAACCACAATAGGACTCTTAGCCAAGTCAACTTTCTACAATGGTTAACGCTAATAGATAATATAATAACGAATGAAATCGACGTTAACACACGGACTACCCCGTTATTAACGGTATTTAAATATTTTTATAGTTCTGTATTAGTTTTTACGATAGAGAAATTCAACTTAGCTAACACTGCATGGCAAGGTATTATATTACGCATAATTAGTTACTGACAAGCAGAGAATTTTATTTATGATAACAATATACAATTTCTCTTTTCTTCTTCTTCTAGATATCAAGTCTACAGGGGTAAAAAGAACGGGCGACGGTCGGTTACCAGGCGCGTCACCCTCCAAGCAACCCAAACAAATATTGCATTGAGTATATAATGCAATGTCTTTAAAGTTGTGAAGTTTAATTACTAAATATTAGTAATGTACGGATATTGTGTGACACAGTGCTGCCTTTTCGAATGAATATAACTCTACTGATATCAGACTACAAAGAAATGTGAAAACTCATTCCTGTTCCATGGAACTGTTGAAACTGACAGATTTTAAAAGTACATTTTGTCAATAAATGTGTAATGATTGACTGATGTTATAATGTTTAAGTATTGAAATAAATAGTTTAAATATGTAATATTTTATCTACGATTATGTAAAAATAACTTTCGTGTAATAAAAAATGTTTTTGCAACATAATAAATTTTTATTTAAGCTGGTTTTCTCAGACTTTCACGAAATTCATTAAGGTATGTATCGTATAGGTATGATATATTAATTTATCATTCATTCATCATCATCATTACAGCCCTTCACAAGTCCACAGCTGAACATAGGCCTCCCCCAAGGAATGCCACAAAACACGGTACTGAGCCACCTGCATCCATCGACTTCCTGCATATCTTACCAGGTCGTCACTTCATCTAGTGGGGGGACGCCCTACACTTCGTCCGCCGGTACGAGGCCGCCACTCGAGAACATACATAGCTTAGCCCTCTCCATAGCTCGCTGAGTGACCTTGAGCTTCCTCATCCGACCAGCAGTGAAGGACCACGTCTCATTTCCATAAGTCATAACTGGAAACACGTACTGGTTGTACAGTCTCGTTTTTGAGTTTTGAGGTATACCTGACGAGGAGATGTGCCGTAATTTTCCGAACGCTGCCCAACCGAGTTGAATCCGTCGATTTATTTATTTATTTATTTAGGTACACAAAACAGAATAACATCAAAACATAAACAATTGAACATAATAAATGCAAAATAACAATCTGGATGGTATTCCAAAACATGTGCACACAACATGATATTAGGTTACAGTAACGAGTTTACAGCGCAAATACTTATAATCTTACTTATAAACTTAAGTTGTGGAAAATTTAGAAAAATTAATTCTTTATCAAAAATATTGCCTTATTTACAAAGTATATCTAATACAGATTTTTTGAAATTGTTTACTTTGCCATTAAATATGTCGATATTTTTACTATTATTAATCAATAAGTCATTGTAGAGGCGACACATTCTTACTAGAGGATTATAATAGGACGTATTATTTCTGTAAACTTGCAAAACAAAAGTGTTTAGGAAAGTATAGCGACGATGGGGCTTAGTATTAATCTTGACAAATGAAAGGAGGGTAGGGGAATCAATAAGGGAATGAATAATTTTGAAAAGGTAAGTCATATCCTGATATTTACACCGGGTTTGTAGTGACATAATGTTAAACTTCTTAAGTTTGTCTTCATACGAGGGCAGACTTATATTTAAACCATACATATAGCACAAAATTGATAGAATTTTTTTTTTGAACACGTTCGATAAGATCTATGTGGACAGCGTAGTATGGAAACCAAATAATTATGTTGTACTCTAAAATACTGCGTACTAGAGAACAGTACAAAATGAGAAAGCTTCGCGGATTTTTAAGTCTTGGCAGTTCTGAATATAAAACCAAGAAGTTTTGTACTTTTAGATACCACATGATCGTAATGATCGCGGAACGTAAGCTTTTCATCAAACAGTATTCCAAGATCCTTAACTACGGATTTTCTATCAAGTACCTGTCCATTTATTTTGTAATCAAAAGTAAGCCTGTGTTTCTTATTGCTAAATGATATGACAAAGCATTCTCTTGTATTTAGATGCATGTAGTTTTCTTTACACCAATTATGAATGGTGTCTAAATTCGACTGAAGATTGAACGAATCGCTGGGTGTATCGATAACAGAAAAGAGCTTCAAATCATCTGCATACAACAGGCATGGACATGTTAATTTATCAATAAGATCGTTGATAAATGTTATAAAAAATAAAGGACCTAAATGGGACCCTTGTGGCACACCCGATGTCACAGGGGCGGGTGAGGATTTGAAACCTTTTATAGTAACTAACTGACTCCTTCTGTTGAGGTATGATTCAGTCCATCTCAACAGATTCCCATGTATTCCGTAACATGCTAATTTGATACATAAAATATTATGATTTACTTTATCAAATGCTTTCGAGAAATCGGTATATATACTATCAACCTGTTTTCTCTTGGCGAAGGCACTGCAAAGGTAGTGTTTGTATTCAAGTAAATTAGAAGTTGTCGATCTGTTCTTAATAAAGCCATGTTGTCTGAGCGACAGGAAGGGTTGAATATGGTGGTAAAGAGAATCATACACCAATGATTCAAACAATTTACCGAGGCAAGACAAGATGCTAATGGGTCGATAATTTTCGCAATTAGACCTGTCGCCGGATTTATAAATCGGAACGATATGAGCTATTTTCCATACTGAAGGAAAAACACCTGTCTTAATGGATGCATTGAAAAGAATACATAAGGGATTACTTAATTCCTTACCGCATTTCTTAATCAATAAAGGAGGAAGACCATCCGGTCCAGGGCCTTTTCTTTGGTCTAGTTTCGAAATCTTTTGCTGTATTTCTTCTTGTGTGATTACGATATCATTTAAGATACAATTACTACGATTGGATGATTCATTATGAGAATATAAACTAGGTTCCACTGGATTTACAAAGACGGAACTGAAATAATTAGAGAAAAGCTCACATATTTCTTTTTCATCGGAACAGATGTGATTACCATATTTCATCGTTTTGGGAATGCTATTAGAATTATTTTTCTTATCGTTAACAAAACGCCAAAAGAATTTTATGTCATCATCTAAAGAAGATTCAACAGACGAAACAAAATTTTTATAGTCATTACTAATAAGTTTTTTACATCTGTTGCGTAACATGGAAAATGTATCATAATCCCGAGGATTCTTATATTTTTTGAAACGGCAATGATATTTTCGCTTTTATTTTAAGCTTTGCTTCAAAGCAGGTGTGAACCATACTGGATAATTGTTTGTGTCACTTTTCGTCATAGGTGTATGTTTTGTAATAATATTCCTGACCTCTGCATAAAATGCGTCAGTCATGCTATCAATATCTTCATGAGTTGACAATATATTATGCCATTCAACTGATTTTAATTCAAGATTAATTTTTGGAAAATTACTTTTGAAAAAATTAGGTCGTTTTAGGTTTTTGTTCTTAAAGTTATTTGAGTTTATTTCAACAAAATTTACATCTGCAACTAATGAGGGGTGGTGGTGATCTAAGCGGCTCAATGGCTGCACTTCATAAACCTGAATGCTGTTCGAACTGAAAAGAATTAGGTCTAAAAATCGTCCGTCACTATTTGGTATACTGTTATAATTATCAAGATTACGTATTCTAAGGGTATCACAAAGCAGATTAGTTTTTTGACCTCGCGGATGAAGAGGAATCATATAATTATATTGAGATGATTTAGACCAGTGAACATCGGGTGTATTGAAGTCACCTATGCAAAGAAATTCTTCTGTGTTACGATATCGCATAATTACGTTTTGACAGTTTGTATAAAATTTATCGATGCAGTCTAAAGGCTGATCTGGTGGAAGATAACATAGACAAATATTAATAATCTTGACATTATTGGTTTTAGGCAATATGCTAATCCACAAGTCTTCCAGTTCACTATTCCAGGAAGCTTGATGGATAAAATTTATTTCTTTTTTTACATTAGATTGATATCTATCGCGCCTTACAACATTATAACGAGTGTCAATGAGTTCACCGTCAAAAATAGTACTATTCAAGTTTGTTTCAGTTAGACAGATAATGTCGTAATCATTATTAAGTATGACGGCACCTGCACCGTTGTAGGTGCGGTGGCGTCGGTCTAGCTAGACAGAATTCTTGTAAACGACACGTGTACCGCACACCTGCGGCATTGCACCTGCGTTGCCACCCGTCCTGCTTGTATAAAACGGACGGAGCGGCCGCCGTTAAGACAGTCTTGGCTCTGACGTGGAACGGTACGCTTGTCGTATTCCGTTACTAGTTTATCCTTAACTCGTTGGATAGTTAATTCGAGTAAACGAATTAATTATTATTCCTAACTACAAAATTAGTCTCTGTACTATACACCCTTTCTACATCAGAAGTGGGATAAAGTCCCTGTTACTGCCCACCTGCTATAACCTTTGAATAGTGTAAGGGTTATTACGTTGGTGAAATACTATAATGCGCCTCGCGTTTTGTTTTTGTGTTCAATTTCTTAAATCAAGTTTGTTGTCGTATTTACGACATTGACGAATCATTAAAGTGTAGAGTAAAAGTTTAAAGTGAAATGTTTTAAGTCAAAAGTTAAATCTTTTTATTCAATTTATAATAGAAAGTACCCGCAAGTAATTTCATTATTTCTTAACGTACCCAAATATGATAACAAATGTCGAAAGAAATGTTGGAGATATTCTGAATGAGTTATAGTTTGCATTCAGTGGAAGTTTAACTTGCTCAAGTAATGTTATAATTTGATACATGAGGTGTGATTTACATGGCCTAGTTTTAAAGTTCAAAATGTTTAAACTATGTACCTAAAAAAAGAACATGATTACTTTAACGTGCTATGACTTAAAAACACTAAGTAGTATTTTTGTGATCTAATGTGATGATAAGTGTTACAGTTTACTCCGAGCATTACGTAGTCGACAAACTTGGAATGGTTTAGTGGAAAGCGTGGAGCTGTAGCGCTCGCTTTTGAGTATGCTGTCGGCTTATGACGCCGCGGACTTATTATTTGTCGCTGCTACTGATCACCATTAGATACATGAGGAAAGTAAATTTATCCTAAACATTGGCTCAGAAACTATTTTGTAAGAATGAGTGTTTACATTTTTAATTGGTTGCGAAAAGTGCCGGAAAACCGAAGTATAACTGATGAAAGTGAAGTAGAGCCAATTAGTTCTAACATTGAAGAGAGTATTTAAGTTTACATGAGGATCGAATCATACCAGAGGTTGTCGTGTAGCCGCAGCTCAGTATTTGGTGC